AGTTTGGTCGAAGAGAGGTTTTTGTAAAGGCTTCTCCATCTTGTTGTTGGGGAAAAAGGAGATAACTTTGGTAATAGTGCAATACCTGAAGAGGGAGTCTTCAGGGTGTGGATGTAAGTCGTGTCTGATCGAACCACTATAAATCTTTATGTCTTCTAATTTCAGCATTTATTTACTACAAGTTATTTACTGTGGTTGAAAGGTTTATTTTGAAACTTAAATTAACTTGCTACGAGTTTTTTTTAAATAATGGTTTTCTATTTAAAAAATCCAAGAGAATTTTTAAATTACCAATTCACCCCACTCTTGATTAGCCTTGGGACAATAGCTTAGGTTTAACAACCTATATAGAATCAACAACCTAAGTCAACCTTAGTAGGAAAATAGTTTTTGAAATTCTTAACTGAAAGTAACTTAGTAGAGTAAAGAGCCACAACCTTATCTTTAACATTTTGAATAATTCTATTGTGGTTCATAACCACACAATTGAAATGAGAATTATTCCTATCTAACCATAAATACCAAAGGGTAAGGGAAGGAATGACATTTCTGATATGACCTTTGGATTTAACAAACCAACAATTAAGTAAAGAATTAATAGAAACAGTAGCATTAAAACAATTTAAGTGGAAAATGTCATCAAAATAATTCTAGGCTTTGACACCTGAAGGACTAGAAATAAAAACATCATGCATATTGTCTATATGATAATATTATTGACATTTAGATGAATGGATGAAACCTCTTTTAATCAAATTATCATCCATAGGAATAAACTTTTTAAAATTCTCCAGACAAAAATAGAAACCGTAAAAGGAATATTTTTATGCCATATCATATGGAAAATCATTGAAGCCACTTTCTTAGCTCTAAAGGAATGCCAAGCATCCTTTAATCTAAAGTTACCATCTTTAGTCAAAGCACATAACTGAACATCAATATAATTATTATTTAGGGGGATCTTCAATATTTGTTGAATAATTAAATTAAGAAGAAGATTAGAAAGTTTCTCAACATCCCAACAATTATTAGTAAAAAAATAATTAACCTTCATAGTAGCATTGGAGGAAGTATTAATAATAGAATCAACTGATTGGCCCCCCAACTAACGATCATGCCAAAAGAAGGTATTACCACTACAAGGCCCCAAAAGATAAAAGTCTCAACAATCCATTTAACAGTGCAAAGATGCTACTAAAATTTAGAGTTACCTTTACTAAAAGAACACGTGGAGGGATGCTTTCCCCCACAATATTTGGCAACCATAAAATTAGCCTAAGGCTCTAATTAGCACGAAAATTGTATCATAACTTAAAAGAGAATGTGTTGGCCAAATTATTCATATACTTATACCCCAAAGCCCCCTCATCAAAAGTACCATAATATTTATCCCATGAGGACCAGTGGATTTTGGAATTGCTACTAGCTCCTTTACTAAAAAATTTATTTAAAATTCTATTAATCCTGTTACACATTTCCTGAATAGGAAGCAAAGTTTGAAAAGTATAAATAGGTGTAGAATAAAGAACACTCTTGATAAGATATAATCGACCTTCAAAGCTTAAAAAATTAGAATCCCAAGACAAAAGTTTGTTATGCACAACCATAATTAAATCTTAAAAGATAAGTATTTTTTTCTACCCTTATGAAGAGGCACACTAAGGTACTTTAAAGGAAAAAAATATTGACTCAAACTAGTTGAATTCTTAATAGTCATAATACGATCAAAAGGGACTTTCTTAGCAGAAATAAAGCAACACTTCTGTTTATTAATTCTGTTTATTAAGAGCTAGCCAACTCACCAATATAAATTGGTGAAAGAACCTCAATAGTCTATGAATCGAATTCATTGAAGCATTCATAAAATTGATAAAATCATCCACAAAGCATAAGTGTGATATATGAAAACCCCCTAACTTTCAAAAGTAAATACTAGGATACTTCTCAAAAAGATTAGCAAGACCTATAGAAATGTACTCAACCATAATAATGAAGAGGGCTAGAGAAATGGGATCACCCTGTCTCAGGCCATGGAAAGCCTTAAAAAAACCATTACTTTTACCATTAACAATGATACAAAAATATGAGCTTTCAATAAAATTTTTAACGAGGTTGATAAAATTAAAATAAAAACCAAACAAATTCATAATATCATAAAAGAAAATTCCAATCAATATTATCATAAGCCTTTGCAATATCAAATTTCAAAATCATATTACCACCTCTAACCTTGACATCCAAATCTTAACAAAATTCTTGAGCCAAAAAGATATTATCAGTAATTGCATGCCCTTTAATAAAGTCCATTTTGAATTGGAAAATAAGTTTAAGTAGAAACACCATTAAATGATTCAACAAAATTTTAGAAAGTAGTTTATAATAAAAGGTGCAAAGACTAATAGGTCTAAAATCCTTTCAATTACTAACAAAATAATTATTGGGAATAAGCACAATAGAAGTAGAAGTAAAAAACTTAGGAATAGAACTACCATTAAAGATGTCAATAACAATAGAATAGAGATCATTACCAATAATATGCCATGTTTTCTAAAAGAACATCATCGTGAAACCATCCGGCCTAGCAACGGACTCACCATTCATACCAAAAAATAATCTCTTTAACCTCCTTAAAAGAAGGAGATTTAGAGAAGAAAACATTATCATCTTGAGAAAGAGGTGTAGGTATGATAGAAGTATTATCAATAATAGAAAGGGTTAAAGGTTTTATTAAGATGATAATGAAAATGTTGAACAACTAAATTAGCAATTTCAACACCATCCTCAATAATCGAGCAATCAACAAGATTAATTTTATGAATATAATTAATAGCACGTTTCTGCTTAACCAAGGTGTGAAAATATTTAATATTATTATCATCTTAAACTAGAAGTTTATCAACCACTTTTTACTTCCAATAAATTTCCTCATGAGCTTGTAATTTATATAGGCCATATTTAACCTCTCTCAATAAACAAAAATTAGCTTCAGAAGGCACCAATTGACATTGAGTCTCATAAGAATTCTCCTTATCTTCTGCAATTAAAATATTGGCAAAAAGATTCTTAAAAACATTATGATTCTACCATTTTAAAACAAACATAAGCCTTTTCATTATAAACCAAAATCTTCTCAAAATAGAGATAGAATTATTCGAATATAAAGGAGCATGCCAATTATCCTTAACCAAATCCATAAATGAATCATTAAGTAATCAGATGTTTTGAAATCTAAGTTGAGAAAGAAAATGCCTCACTCTAGGCTTAATTTTTGAAATCTAAGTTGAGAAAGAAAATACCTCACTCTAGGTTCAATTTTAATAAGAAGAGGAGAATGATTAGAGAGGGTCCTGCTAAAATGTTCAACATTAGTAGACTCAAAAGAATTCTTACAATAGTCATTAAATAAAGCTTGATCTAACCTTTACCATAAATGCCCATCATGCAAAATAAAGTTATCACCACAGTTAAGATACAATCCATAAACATAATATTAAAATCGTCCATAGAATATAGATAGGGAGAGAGCCCCCTATGTGCTTAGACGGGTAAGCTATAGTATTAAAACCTCCTCCCATAAGCTAGGGAAGGTTGGAAATACTATGAAATGGAGTAATTTGTTCCCATAAAATCTTTCTGGTATAACGAGAGGAAGCATCATAAACAAAAGAATCACAAAATTCCAAATTAGAACTTTCAATATTATAATGAATAACTTGAGTAAAATCACCAATAATGTTTAGACAAACAAAATCTTTCCAAAAAACCCAAGTTTTATTGGCCACATTCGACAAAACATGCTTAAATCCCATAAATTTAACAGTACCAATAACTTATAAGAGGAGATAAGAGGCTCAAGCAAGAGAAAAATCGAAACATTATAAACACGGCATAAGTTTTTAACTCTAAACTTAGAAGAAGGGCACCTAATGCCCCTAACATTCGAAATAATATCATTAAACATAAAAAATAATATGTTAATGGGAATTATGCGAATAGGTGCTTTTACGTGATTCTAGAGTAAAATTCTTTTGCTTCATATCTCTCATACCATGACCCTTGGTATAGCTAGTAATTTATCATCTCTAGAAAAGCATTTAGCCTACATATCCATATCTTCAATGTCAGTAAAAGCATCAATATGGTAATGATCATTCAAAGGAAGTTTATTTTCATTAATAATACCTAACTTCCCCCTTGAAAGAGGCAATTTTCCTTCCTTATAGAAACATAGCCTTCCACATTGGTTTCATTGTTTACAACCTTAGTCGTTTTTGGCGGGCTGTTCTGGGATGTCGGCGGTTGGCCCGGCAGCGGTCGCCGACGGCGAGGCTACTGATGGCTTCAGTTTTGTTAACATGCTGATGTCTAGTCGTCCTGTTAAGAACGGGAATCTGGTAATCCGTGAACCTACTGTTCCATTATCGATCTCCCCTATTCTAGTTCCTGGGAAAGGGAAAGAAATAGTTTATTCAATAAAGGGTCCTGGATCGCCCTTAACTAGTCTTAATTTCAATCACACCGACAGAGAAAATTCTTCCTCGTCTGATTTGAAAATCTTTGTAAACCATTATGATAATTCTGTAAGAATGATCAGCGGATCACATCTCCCTTCAATTCCAAATATGAACGGATGTTCTTCAAATGTTTGTGAAAATGACAGGAAAGAACCTGTATTGGCTAAGGATCTCCACGGCCTAGTTAAAAGAGGAGACAAGGAGGGATCAAATCTGTGGTCAAAACAGAATCATCTCAAAATTGATTTGAAGGCATTTTCGAATTGCTTAACAGAGGATGGTTGTGTTGTGAAATTGTTTGAACCAAACATGAAGGCTAATTCTGATCGTTTGAATCTATACATAGTGGTGAAAGCTTTTGGAGCTGATATCTCAAAACCAATGATGGCGTGGGAGCTAAGACGTCAATGGAACCAATTCGGTAAATTTCACCTGACTTCTTTGGGGATAGGTTAGATGTTATGCTCGTTTGATGATATGGAGACAATGGAGAATGTTATTATGGGTGGACCATGGTTTGTTAAAGGTCACATTATTGGATTGGATAGATGGAGCTCGGACTTCTCTCTATCTTCTTTAAAAGGCTTAAGCTCTCCGGTTTGGGTTAGGCTTCCTAACCTCCCTTTGTTTTATTGGGATGAAATCAACGTGGCAAGGATTGCTTCCCTTTTTGGTACTCCTCTTCTTCTTGATGGGAACATGTTCCAATGGAGCAAGAGTGAATTTGAAAAAGTGTGCGTTAGGTTGGAGCTTAATAAACAGCTTCCACTGGGAGTATGGGTGGATGGTCCTAAAGGGAGATTTTTCCAAAAAGTTGAGTATGAAAGGATTTCATCTCTTTGTTACAATTGTGGCAAAGTTGGTCACTTTGATTATGCTTGTGGAGCTAATAATGTGGTGAAGTGCTCTGTTCCGGAGGAGGGTATTTGTAATAAGGGTGTCGAGAAGATTGGGGCATCCAAGGATAGTTCGACCTATAATCCTTGGATCCATGTCCATTATAGGAAGAAAAACAAGATCGATCAGAGGAGAAGTAGGCAGATTTATTCCAATCTGATTCCTAAAAGTTTTAAGTAGGTTTTTAAGGAGAAAGAAGTCCAGGAGAAATCCCAGTCTGCTGCTGAAGAGGAGGGGTTGGTGATGCCAGCGAAAGGAGATCTGGATGGATCGGACCTCCAGATTTTGAAAGAAACTGGATCTACAGAATGTAATTCGGTACTTCCTTCTCTCTCAGTTTTTTTTGTTCCAAATAGCAATAAATTCGATCTACTCAATGAAGTTGATGAGGAAGTTTTTGAGAAGAACAATACAACATTATCAGAGGGTGAATTGGTTAACAGTGAAGATTTGGTTTACAATGGGGAAACTGAGGTTAATAAGGATAATGTAGAAATCATCCAGGCTTTGATACTAGAGGAGCAGATCTTAATGGAAAGGCTAAACCAAAACTTCAAAAGGAGTTGAAGTTTTTGGGACCACTCAATCCATCCTCTAGACTTAAAAAACAAGAAGGAGTTAGTAGAAAGAAGGGCGGGGGACCTTCCCCCTTGGTGACTAAATGAGCTCCTTTTTTTTTTGGAACTGTAGGGGGGAAAATAAGAGGGAGGCCCCTTTATATCTGAAGGAAGTTATTAGTGATTGGAAGGCCATTTATGTGGGCATTGTGGAAACTAAAATAGATACATTGGAAAAATGGGATTTTAATAAGCACATGGGTAAAGATTGGGATTTCTTTCTTTATCCATCTAATGGTTTGTGTGGTGGGATTGTAGTGATGTGGAGGTCTGACTTGGCCAGTTTCTCTTTAATTACAGCAAATGAGCAATGTGTGATTGGGAAGCTTTGTATAGCTAATAAAGGATCTTGGATTATCTCTACTGTGTATGGGAGTATAGATGTTTATAGCAGGAGGAATTTGTGGGATTGCCTTGGCTCTCACTCTTGTTTGGAGGTTCCGTATGTTATTGGAGGTGATTTTAATTGTATTCTTTCCCAAGAAGAAAAAAGGGGTGGTAACAAATTCAAATTCTCTCTTGCTCCTCAAGAGATGAATTCATTCATGAACAGGTGTGATCTCCATGATGTGGGAGTAATTGGGCCTAAATTCACTTGGTGTAATAACAAAAGTGGAAGAGCACATATTTGGGAAAGGCTCGATAGGTGTCTTCTCAATTCCAAGGCCTTGGAAGCTCTTCCACAGGCTGTTAATCGACAAGTGGCACGGGTAGCATCTGACCACTGTCCTGTGGTTCTTAAGCTTAACTTTTGGAATTTCCATCACCCAAAGATCCTGCTGTTTGAAGATGTGTGGCTCTCTTATCCCGCTGCATTTCACGTTGTCAAGAAAGCTTGGAGCAAACAGTTTAGAGTTGTTCCTATGGAGGTGTTAAACACAAAATTTTGATTTGTGTTGAGGACTCTTTTCTTTTGGAACAGATCCAAGCACAATAGTTTGATGGAGCTCAAAGAAAAACTTAAAAAAGAAGCGGATGATCTGCAAAATGAAGAGACCAATGGGAGCGGGCTGTCTGAGAAATCAGTATTGCTGCTCAAGTCCAAAGTCCATGAATTGAACACTACTCTTGCAAGGTTAAACGTTTGGTGGAGACAAAGGGTCAAAGTCAAATGGATTAAGGAGAGTGACATTAACTCTCAGTTTTTCCATTCTTTTGGTAACGGTAGGAAGAATGGTAATTTAATAAAACACATCAAGGATGGCTCGGGCAACCTGGTGAATGATCAAGGTGCAATTGAACAATCCTTCTTGAGTTTTTTCTCTCAAAAGTGGAAGGAGCGGGAATGTAAGGTAACGGGGTGGCCGAACAGGATAAATGGTCTAAGTAATGAAAGCGTGGAATTACTGGATGCTGAATTCACAATGGAGGAAATTGAGAAAGTCATATCCAGCCTTGGTAGCAATATCTCTCCAGAGATTGATGGAATTTCGTATTCCTTCATCAAGGGGTATTGGAAAATAATAGCTCAGGACATACGGGAGGCTATATTTCAGTTCATCTCTACTGGCAAAATGAATGAGAAGTGGAAAGAAACATTGATTGTGCTTATTCCCAAGGTGCAAAATCCGGTTGATCCTTCTCAATTTCGTCCTATTAGTTTATGCTTGTCTATTTACAAAATCATTGCTAAACTTCTTTTAAATAGACTTAATTTTGTTATCAACGATTTGATTTCAGAAAACCAAGCTGCATTTCTTAAAGGTAGACCTTTATCAGAACATATCCTTTTGGTGCAAGAAATTGTTCATAAGTTCAGATTTTCTAAATAAAAAAAAGGATTGATGGCTGTGAAAATTGATATGGAACAAGCATACGATTGTATGTCTTGGAGGTCGTTGGAAAATATTCTTCATTACTTTGGGTTTCCTAAGGTTTTTTTCTAATTTTATCATTGAATGTGTTACTTATCCAAGGTTCTCTATTTTATTCAATGGGATCCAATCTAAGTGGATTGAGGCTATGAGTGGGTTCAGACAGGGAAGTCCACTCTCCCCCTATTTGTTCATCTTATGTTCCCAATTTTTATATAACAATTTGCACCAAATTGGGAATAACTTTGGAATTAAAGTGGCTGTCTCGTCTCCCAGAATCTCCCACCTTCTTTATGCCGATGACATACTTATATTCTCTGAAGCCAATACTGAGAAAGTGAAAGTTGTTAAGAAAAGCATTGTGGATTAATGTAGCTGGACAGGACTTTCAGTTAATGTTCAGAAATCTGCCATTTTGTTTGGGAAATCAGTTAACAGAGCAAAGAAAAAATCCTTATTAAAAATCCTAAAGTTTAAAGTGGTGTAGGAAATGAAATACTTGAGGATTAATCTTCGTATGCGTAGAGTGATTTCTTCTGATTTTCTTTTCATGCTCAAGAGGGTATAAGCTAGAATTAATAGTTGGGGCAATAAATTTTTTTCTTTAGCTGGTAGAATTGTGCTAGTGAAGTCCATCTTGCTTTCTATTCTAATCTTCTATGTCTTTCATGCTTTGATTCCCATCAGCATTCTGAAAAAATTGGAGAGGATCTGTGTGGATTTTATCTGGAAAAAAGCAGATAATGAATCGGGTATGCACTACATTTCTTGGGAGGTGCTTTGCAAACCCTTTGCCGAAGGAGGAGCGGGGTTACACTCTCCTGTTGCATTGATGGGGCCGCTGAGATCTAAATTTTCTTGGGAATTTATTAAGGAATCCAACTCTTTGCTGTACAGGACTTTAAGAGCTAAATACGGGAATGTTCTCTGTAGTGAAATAAAAGGGAGAAACTGCTCAGTTACCTGGAAAATTCTTTCAAATGGCATGAAGGCTTTGCAACTTATTTTGAGATGGAATGTGGTTACTGGTGATTCCATTGATCCTCTTCAAGATATCTGGATTCAAAATAAAAGGATGTCCAATTGGCATACATTTGTTAATGTCATGGTTGATGAAGTTCCAAGGCTTAGTTTTTTTATCCAGAACAGAGTATGGAATATGGGGGAGTTAAGTAAGTATTTTGGTCCGGAACTCATCAAGTTGATTGTACAGACGGAGATTGGAAGTGGGAAGGATTCCAGAGATCTACTTAAAAATTTTTCAGGGAAATCATTAGCAGCTCTGATTAGATCTTTTCAATATACTAATTGTAATAATGGAAATGACTAGAAATGGCTCAGGTTAAGTAAACTGTCCGCTAGAGTGCATTGCTTTTGGTGGAGATTGCTTCAAAGTGGTATTCCAACTATGGAGTATCTCAGGTATAGGAGAATTATCAATTCAAATGGCTGTCCAAGGGGCTGTTCAGTTGTAAGAAATGAGGAACATATTGTAGTTAATTGTAGTTTTCTTGTCCGGTTGTTCCACACCTTGGAGGGATGGGGTTTCCCCATTCCTAGATACAATAATTGGTCTGACTGTATCCACGGGTTAAAGGAGTTAGCTCGGGTAAATCCTTTCTTGGTCATTATGTACTGCACATCTGTCTACTATTCATGGAAGAGGAGGAATGATGCTACCCATGGAGGCAAGGAATTGGGCATGAGTTTTATGTCAGCCAAAGAAATTGAGGTTGCTGTTGTTTCTTCAAAATGCGGTATCATCTCGGATCACTGTTGAGCCAATCATCTTGGTAAGCTGTCCAACTCTTCTTGGCACCCCCCTCCACCCGAGTGGATTAAAGGTAATTTTGATGCTGCACTTCTTGACTCCAATGAGGCTGGGCTTGCCGGAGTTTTTAGAGAAAATGAAGGGAGATTCTTATTTGCTTTTGGAATCAAATGTGTCCATTGGGACATTGGTTTGCTTGAGCTGATGGCTATTCGGGCGTTGAAAATGTTTCACAAGTTCTGGAAATCCGAAGCTAAGGGGATTATCATCGAAGGGGATAATCAGAACGTCATCAATTACCTTCAGAGATCGTTGAATAAAAGTCATCACAACAATGAAGAGTTGGAAGACCTGTCATTATTGGAAGACTTTGTTATGTTTATTTTTCATTTCGTTCCTAGAGAATGTAATCGTTTTGCTTTTCTTAAAGATAAGTGTGATAGATGTTCTATCATTCTCTAGGTTGTATCTGTTTTTGTGATTTAATTAGTTGCCTTTGGCATTTTCAAAAAAAAAAAAAAAACATTACCTCCTATTTCCTTCACCAAATCAAGTTGGACAATGTCCTAAACAATCACATCAGCTTGATCAGTTTCCTCATCCACAACAATATTGTAACCAATCCAGCCTCCATGAGAGGCTTAAGAGAAAGGGAAACATTATTTAGATTAGTATCAATGCTTTTGTCATTCACATTATGAAAAATAATAGGTAAAGAAGATATAGAGTTAAGATTGACTTCTTGCACTTGATTCAACTCATCAATAATAGTAGTATTGGGTTTATCCTGAACAAAATCCATAATTAACAATTCATTAATTAGATCTTGCACTTTATGTACAATACCCACATTACAATCATGATATGGAGTAACAATGTCCAATTCAACTGAAAGTAAATCACTTTTATGCAAATGTTTAGAATAATCCTTTTCCATGCCCATGCATCTTACAATGAGAATAGAAAATAGGTAAATTGTCAAATTAAACTTTTTGAAAATAGCCATTATGTTCCAAACCAATCCAAACCTCATTGAGATGCTTCTTCGATATATCCAATTCAACTTACACACGAGAAACAGACAGTCATTAAATGGACACTATAGCTTAATAAGTTTGCAACAGTCTACCAAAGATACAAGCCAAGACAAATAAGATTTGATAATTAAAAAAATGCAATCGATGATTCAGAAAAGAAATCCACATAAGGGTTACGAGAGATTCTTCATGCAAATGAAAATCAAGTGTCCATTTAAGCAATCTCATTTAACAATCCTGAATGTAATAGGACCTGCTAGAGAAGAAATGGCTATATTGAAAAGCATTGCTCAGTTGAATCACAATATGCCTAGAATCCAACAAACCAACTTGAAGCCCAGAGTGCAGCATAGTGAAACCCATTCCTACCATCGTCATCTCCCGAAGACCTCAAAACCTATAGACACAACAATGAAACTTAATGAAAAAAAGATGAAAAGGAAACCAAAGATGCAAGACGATTAGATAAATCCATTAAAAAAAATGCCAGAAAATGAAGAAAAAATGAAAGCCCTAGTTCACTTCAGAACCGCCTAATACAACCTTAAATCTATTTATTTGGACAAGTGGATAAGGGGAAAAGACTTCTCAAAGATCTACTAATTTTTGGTGAAATTAGATCCTTAACTACACACTCAGACAATGCTTTCCATGCTGCACAATTTGAGTGGGTAGCCAGTGATCAGTGCTCTTTTAATTGGAGCCATCAGATCAACGCTAAATGACATTGATTTAAAGATTAAAAATTACATAATCAATGTTTGAAACAAGATACGATGAAATCAGGATTGTCATTTTAAATAAATGGTCCTAATTTCATCTTTGACCTTCCATTTAACTTAAAGACTATAGGCGTATTATTGCTAGATTCTAGAGATTAGTGGATGGATTTGGTTTAAACTTCACACTAAGCATGGGTAGAGTGAGAAAATTCAATCTGTTGGTCTTAACCATAGGGATTGAGTATTTCTTGGACACTTGCCTAAACCAATCTATGATGAAGTTCGGGAATGGAGTGTTACAAGAAGTAAAACTGTAATTCCATTGGCCTTACTATAGGGACAATCACTAGACGCTTGAAATATTTCTTCTAAAGAAGTCACGACTAGAAGATGAATAGGTTTGGCATTGAGTTTTCACAATTTAATCCTCACTGTAGCTCACTCAAAACCACCTCAAGACCTCACAAAGATAGTTAGCAAAAAAAAAAGGTATTATCTTTTTTTTGAAGAAAAAGCATAAAAGCTTTGAATAAAAACAAAACGATTACATCCTAATGGCATTCGATTCCTCCTTTAACACTTTAGTAAAAGTGGGAGGAATCTTATTCAACACTAAATCATCCCAAATGAATGAACTAAAAATTGCATAGTTAGCACATTGGTCCACTAACTTATTGCAAACCCTTTTAACACAATTGAAAATAACATAATTAAAATCTTTAATAATAGATAAATCTCCCAATTCATTAGTATCTTATCTCATGATACCTTTAATAAAATTGATGACATTCTGATAAGCATACATCCATTCTCCAGTCACTTCTTTGAAAGAAAGAATAGCTTAAAGTTCCAAGTAAGAGATGTCCCAATGAATAAGCTTTTTACCAAATGCCATAAAAAATCTTCCTCTATGGTCTTGAATTACTCCACCAATTCCATCCTTATACGAAGAACAGAGTGCAGCATCAAAGTTTAGCTTCAACCAATCTGGTGGAGGGGGATGCCAAATATCATCAAACAACATAACCAGTTGGTTAACACCTCAGATACCCGAGCTCTTACCATTTGACTGCTGAGAAACCGCTGCATAACTCACTACATTGGTTGCTATTACCAAAGAGCTAGATCGGTTGCCATCATGAACTAGTTAATTCCTAGCTCTCTATAATAAATATACCAAGTTACAAAAGAGACCAATCAACCAAAGGTTTTTGCTGTGAAGCCATATGAAAGAAGTTTCAAAAGAATTGAAACTAGGAATTTGAACAACCCACTTGCTTAAGATTTGAGTAGCTTCTCTTTATTTCCTGCATTTAGTGACTAAATGCTCAAAGTCTTCAGCCTCCTCACACCCCCATGGGCAGCTCTCCATACTTTGTAATCTTCTATAGCAAAGAAAGTGATTAGTAGGAATAGCCTTGTGAGGCAGTCTCCACCAGAAACTCTCCACTTTAGAACCTACATTAATTTTTTTTTCAGCCAATCCCATTCATTTGATTCTAAAGGTTGATCTCCCAAATACATAGTAGCCATTGCAACAATTAATTTACCTGGAATCATTTGGATCAATTCGAGCTTATCTTCTTCCTCTTCATATGAAATCCAAATGCCAGAAATCAATTTTACAAGTTCTGTACCACAGAATTCCTCTAACTTCATTACATTTTAGCTCCCATTATATATCCAGCTATCCACCGTGCATTCATAGCACTCCACTGCTTTTACAAATGTTGGCCATTTGTCTAAACTTTTATCTAGTAACCACTTATCTTTAAAGACATTCACAAAATTCCCATTTGCAATTTTCCATTTGACAATTGTTTTTAGGAACTTCTCTCCACTTCTTATAAGTTTACAAGCTACTGAACCTGAGTTACCGAAAGAATTGCTATCCATACAGGAGCCATACTTAGGGAATAGGATCATATGCATCAATGCATCTTTATCTTGAAGATATTTCCAAGCCAATTTTTCTCTCAATGGCCCATCTTTCTTTAAACAGGGAACCAACCCACGTCCCCCTTGATTCTTTGGTTTGCAAAGTGAATCCTAGCTTACATAGTGAAACCAATTCCTACCATCATTCTTACTCCATATAAAGCTCCTGCATAACTTGTCAATTTCATTAAAAATAATTCTAGGTACCAAAGAAAAAGATGAATGGAATGTGGGAAATGATAACAACATGATTTGACCAAAGTTAATCTTCCGGCCAAAGAGATAAATTTCCTTCCCATACATTTAACATGCTCAAAACTTTATCCAACAGAAAATTGAAATCAGCTTTGACAAGTCTTCTCAAGGCCATTTTAATGCCCATGTATGAGAATTCTTTTATTTCCATTAAGTCCATGACTTTATCAATCCTTTTCCTTCTTCTTTTCTTAACATATTTCTGAAAGGAAATCCTAATTTTTTTGAATTTACACTTTGGCCCGTCCATCTACAAAATTCCATGATTGTGCTTTTAACCTCCTTAACCATTTCCATTCTAACTTCTGAGAAAATGATGACATCGTCAGCATAAAGTAAATGGGAAATCAAAAGCCCATTAGTAGAAATTTTAATGCTAATCGAATCCTTCTATTATTAGAATGCATTGGATAGTAATTGAGCACATAAAATAAACAAGAATGGAGAGAATGGACACCCTTGACGGAATCCACTCTTTGCTTCAATCCAATTTGATAAGTTCCCATTAATAGATAATGAAAAATAAGGACTAAAAACACAATACATGACTAGCTTAGAAATTTTTGTTGGAAAGACAAAATACTCCTAAGCTTTGCTTAAAGTAGGC